AATGCTTACTTCAAAGCACAGAAAATTTGAGATTTGTCTTCACACACATTAGTAAATTCACCCACCTGAGCACCATTCACTTTGGTAATGAAGGAACAGATTTGAATTCTAACAGCCTCATTGACTATCTCATACCAATAATTACAGGGAGAACATACAGAGTCAATCTATCAAGATAAAATCATCAGGTCGAAATAACCAAGCTAAAACTCCCAGAAAAATCTACTAGAACTTCATTAAACACCAACAATAGGTCATATCAATAAACAGATGAACAAAGAGCAACTCTTTGTTCCAGGCACAGGGCTATGTAATGCAAAAAGCAAAGAACACAGAGACTTTGTCTTTGACTTAAAGGGATTAAATTTTAAGAGAATAAAACACCTAAAAAGATAACATTAATGATAGGAGCTGTGGTCAAGAACAGACTCTAGATCCAGACACCTGAACTGAATTTTAGATCTGCCACTTAGTGGCTGTTAGACCTTGGGCAAATCATGTAATCCCTCTGTGCCTCCATTTCCCTACCTATAAAATGTGGGTAATATTATTATTTACCTCTTGAATTATTGTTCAGGATGAATGACTTAATTCAAGTAAAGTACTGAAAACAGTGCCTGGAAGAACATAAACACTATAAATGGCAGCTATTATAGTTTTATTATTGAAATCTTTAAAAATAAGTGCCAAATCAGACATAAAGGCAGAAATACTCTACTCTAGGAGTCCACAGAAAAAGGAAAATACAGTGGGCTGGAATGCAGAGAAGTAAGCTAATATAACAGTGAAGACATGGGGACAGGAAAAAGTAGGTATAATCAGAGGGTAGGGAAAGATGGCTCTCCATCTTTGGAAGAGTGACTCAAAAGGAAATTGACAGGATATATGATTCCACAGGCTAGATAAGACTACGATGTAGGGGTTGGGGATGCTGATACATGATGTAGTAAGATTTTAATCCATTGGCAATGAGAGATTCACTAGATATGTCTGAGCAAAGGATTGGCAAAATAAAAGACATAATTCAGAAATGTGTCTCTTTGGAAAGAGAGAATAAAATGAATTGTTTAGACCAGAGTGGAAAACTGAATTAACGGTACCATCAGAGATCTGACAGCAAGGACCGCCTGTACATCTGACAGTGTCCTCTGCTTTGTTCACAATGATCCTTCCTTCTCTTTCCTTTTCACAGTCCCATTTGTTTCCCCTGAGATGGAACTGGTATCGCTCTAACATCTCAACATTTTAACAGGAAGAGCACAGTGATATAGAAGTGTAATAAATTATTTGAGCTAATAAATACCACCTACAATTCAGCAAGCATCATCCAGAGAAAACCAAACATTTCAGAAAGTCATATGCAATCAGTGAAGGAGTGTATTAAGCATTATATTAAATATTCACTAGCTTCACATTTACCCCAACAACTCAGCCATAGGCTAAGACTCCACATCATCCACTGCTGTAGACAAGTACATGTGATGGAAATGCACTTGGCAGAGCTAGGGTTGGAGACAATGTGCTGCTTCAATTGTTTATGCAGTTGCTTTAAGCTTCCTCCACGATGCTCCCCATCACACAGAAAAGTTATTTCATTAGAGTCCAAATGAAAAATCAAGTCCAGTGGCATCGTGAGAATCACCGGCCCACTTCTCCCTTCCTCAAACTTGACAGTAGACAGTCCATTGAGCTGCAAAGCTAAGTAGAGAAGGAATACCTTCATTCTTTGTAACTCATTCAATGTTGGAGACAAAATATTCTTCCAGTGTCATTTAAGTCACCAAGTGTCAGCGTAAGCCAATTTCTTTATGTTCTGCCTTCAGGATAGACAGTTGCTATGCCCTATAAAGGCCATTCTCGGTTCCATAAAATAGGATGAGAAACAAGGGAACAAAGGAAGGCTACAGTGACTTAGAATGATACAACCTTACCATATACATTTCCAGTGCTGGAAGATGTCTGGGGAAAATCTGCAAATGCAGGTCACAAACTTGGGCAGCTACCACCATGTGTACAATCCCTTTGATCCCACATTCTCCCTATGGTAGCAGTTTTATTTTAGAAAAAAAGTTTATTTGGATTCAATGCAACAAGATTTAGGATTATTAAGAAAGAAATGCCTATCAGCCCATCATATAACATTGTGTTTTCATCTATTATGCTCCAGACTTCAGTATGTACACAAATTTGACATACTGGTTGCAATCATGATATTTAAGTCATTTGGCAATCTGCTTTTTTTCATTTGTGTTATAAAGAGCTTTCCATGTTTCTACACAGTCTTAATAATTATTATTTTAATAGCTGCTTAACAGAATAGCATAAATATTTAAAGAGCACAACAGATGAGTAGAGGACTGTATTTCTAACTTTATTACATAATTAGAGTTTTAAAACTCTTAACAGAGTTTCATCTGTAAAATGAGAAGTGCAGCAAAGTGATCTACAAAGTCCTTTGGAATTCCAGTCTTTAAAAGGCT